TTTCCAACATAAAAGACACCAAAATCAGCTGAAGAAACGAATAACTGACGAAAGACCCGAAGAACTGCTTAAAATGCTGTTCGACATTTTTGATGTGCCAGTACCAAAACAAGTCGTGAAACAAACAGGGACAAGTTCAAGGAAAAGAAAATATACAGAAGAACTAGAAGTGGATACTAGACGAAAACACTACAAAGTAAAATATGTTGTTGAACTCTCCAGAAAGAGGAGGGGGAGATACTAATACTAAATAGAGAATATTATTTAATAAAGTAGTAATCTCAAAAGTGAGAAGGTTTTGTTGTAAAGAGTACACCCCTGATGACTCTATGAATTTCTTCAATACTATAATGAGCTTCATTTGTATGAGGTTAGTGGTAGTAGTATTGGAGTCAATCTTCATACTAACTAAACAAGCAGACGGCAATAACCTAAGCGTTACGTATAGAGAATACTACACGAATTACTTTATACCAAATACAAGTCTGTGTTATAACAATAAACTTACAAAAGGAAGTTATAAGTATTTATTTCTTAGATTGTTTATTTAGAAGAATAGTTTTATATTTAGAACATTTTAAAAACTAATACAATTAGAACGAATGCAATTCAATATTTATCATTTACCAATTTATAAAGAAATAAATGTGAAAACAATTTTTTATTTATAAATTTATAAACATTTAATTATTAAAATATGTCAACAAACTATAAAGAAATCTTTATTATTTACCATTTTACAAAGTTTCAATAAATTTACAATTAGTTGATATTTTGCTAATCATTCCAATAAATGATACAATAGTTTAAATAAACAATAGTGTTTATTATTTTTTTGTCAATCCTCCCGAACAAAAAGATGTACACTATTTACATTATTCGGACTATTGTCTTCATCTTTGTCGCCATATTTATTACAACGTTTCAGCCTTTCAGTATCTGTCTCTATTTCTGAGATGAGGTATTATTTACACTATTTACATTATTCGGACTATTGTCCTCATCTTTGTTGCCATATTTATCACAACGTTTTGGCCCTTCAGTATCTGTCTATATTTCTGAGATGAGGTATTATGAAAACTATTTACATTATTCGGACTATTGTCCTCATCTTTGTCTCCATATTTATCACAACGTTTTGGCCCTTCAGTATCTGTCTATATTTCTGAGATGAGGTATTATGTACACTATTTACATTGTTCGGACTATTGTTCTCATCTTTGTCGCCATATTTATTACAACGTTTCGGCCTTTCAGTATCTGTCTATATTTCTGAGATGAGGTATTATGTACACTATTTACATTGTTCGGACTATTGTCTTCATATTTGTCGCCATATTTATTACAACGTTTCGGCCCTTCAGTATCTGTCTTTATTTCTGAAATGAGGTATTATGTACACTATTTACATTATTCGGACTATTGTCCTCATCTTTGTTGACATATGTATCACAACGTTTCGGCCGTTGTACGCTCCGGCCTTCTTTAGGTGGTTCTTTATTTCGCTCACTGGGGTAGATTGTTCTAGTTTCACGTGTCATTTTTTAATTTAATTTGCGAACCAACAATAAAAAAAATTCTTATTATTTGCCATTTTATAAGATGTGAATCGATTAGCAATTAGCCGATGTTTTTTCAACCATTTCAATAAATGATCTTATAAGTAAATAATGTAAATAAACACTCTAATAAATAATATACTATATACTCTAAGTAATATACTAATCGTGTATATTATTTTTTCGTCAATTCTCAAGAATAACTTTATATTTACCACATTTTAAAAGTAAATACAATTAGAACTAATGCATTGATTACAATTGTAATCAAACCTAAATATACGATATAAATATATGAAAACAATTTTTTATTTATAAATTTATAAACATTTACTAAGTTATTAAAATATATGAACCAACTATAAGGAAATCCTTATTATTTATCATTTTATAAAGTTTCAATCAAAGTTTTTCACTAAACATGGACAAATATGGCCACAATATGACGTAATGTCAAAAGGATGGTTTTTCTCATGATACGACTTTTTTAACTTAAATCCTTGGCAATGATTAATGTTTTGAAAAGCATTGATTAGAATTGTAATCAAACCTAAATATATGATAAGTGAATTTATACTCGCCTTTTTGTTCTTGAGAATTTACCAAAATATTAAATACTATTAGATTTCCAAGGCTAATTTCATATTTACAACATTCTAAAAACTAATACATTTAAGACTAATGCAATGCCATATTTATCATTTACCAATTTGTAAAGAAATAAATATGGAAACAATTTTTTATTTATAAATTTATTTACTAAATTATTAAAATATGCGAACCAACTATAAGGAAATCCTTATCATTTACCATTTTATAAAGTTAACCAATATTTTACCAACCATTCCAATAAAAAATCAAAAAATACTATTTATGCATTAGATTGCTTATTTACAAGAGTAATTTTATATTTACAACATTTTAAAAACTATTACAATGCAATATTTATCATTTACCATTTTATAAACAAATAAATATGAAAAAAATTTCGTTCATAAATTTATAAACATTTACTAAATTATTAAAATAGGTGAACCAACTATAAGGAAATCCTTATTATTTACCATTTTATAAAGTTTGAATCAATTGACAATTAGCGGATGTTTTGTCAACCATTCCAATAAACTATAGAATAAATAAATGGTGTAAATAGATAATCTAATAGTGTTATTTTATTGGAAAATCCTTGTTTATTATAATAAAGGCTTCAAATCTTTATAGTATTTAAAAATATATTAATCATAATGTTGTATTGTCCCCTTCTTCTATGCGTAAAACTTAACTCCCTGTAAACACTTTCTATCTCTCTAACATTCCTATGTTCGGCTCAGCGAATCAAAATCGACATCCCTATTTTGTCTACCATCTGACCTTAAAGACCAGCCTCAGAAGATCTGACCCAACATTCACTGCCACTAACAAATAATTTACAATAACAAATAATTAACTAATTTGCATATTGATTTTTTAAAAAGTATATTTCATTAATTAACTGTCCTTCATTAGTGCGATTTTATTCAAAATTTTTTTTTTTGATTTCCATTTCAAAAATATTTCTGTTTAGGTATATTGTCTTAAAGAATGCTGAAAAGTATTTGAAATTTGCATTTTACTTGGCGTTTAAGTAGTTGGCAACTATTTGGAAAACTTTTCTTAACTATAAGCCAATTTATGAAGGAAATGTTCATTTAAAATTTTTGTTTCAAATATTTCAAGTAGTGAATATATCTTACTTTGCGAAACAATACCGAGCTATATAAATATATGTTACTAAATAAAATATATTGTAGAACAGATCTATTGACCTTGTATAAAAATACGTATGCTGTTGGCACACAGAATGGTTTGAAAATCAAAAAATGCATTATGCATTGATTATTCCTGTCACATCTGGACTAGTGCCTTTTTTGTGTATTAAGTAAGGCTTACTGTTGGAAAAACCTTGATTATTATAATAAACTTTACAAACACTTATATTTTTAAGCGTTTCACCCCAAGCAAGGCGGGAAGCCACTAGCACGCAAGGGGTTACAGAGAGTTGGAGCGAGAGCAAAGAGAATTGATAGAGGAAAGGATGAGGAGAAGGATAGTGGATAGATCAGGGCATCTGGAGACGTCTATTGACATTACATTTGAATAGCTGGAGATTATAGCTATCAGGGAAACAGGAAAAGGGGGGGAGTTCTACAGGCGAGAAGTGAGAGCCATGAAGCTATTGGAGTAGAAGAGACGGCTACATTTAACAGTTTCGACAGTGAAAGGGTGAGAGTGAGATGACAGCCTAGTAGAACGCTTAAATTCATGAAGTCTGGGAACCAGCGAAAGCAGCTCATCGGAGCAGTTACTATGAAAGTATTTGTAAAAAAGACAGAGGGAGGCGACGGCACGTCTGTGAGAGAGCGACTGCAGACGAGATGCCAGATCAGAGCCAATTACATTGCATATCCGTCTGAAGGGGCATCAGACCATATATGACAGCAATACTTCATTCAAGGGCGAATGGTTGATTTGTATATTTGAAGGATCGACTCAAGCGAGAAAAATTCCTTGGCGCGGCACAGGGAGCCAACTTTCCTTGCTATTGACTTAATATATTTGTTACTTAAATTTTTAATAATCATAGGAATGTATTTATTAAATTGTTAAAATACATGAATCAACTATAAAAAAAATAGTCATTATTTACCATTTTATAAAGTTTGAATCAATTGGCAATTAGCCAATGTTTTTTCATCTATTCCAATAAAAAAATCTAATAAATAAATAGTGTTTATTTTTTTGTTCATAACCTTCGTTGCTTATCAATGTCCAATCGAAGTTTCGTATTTTTCTCAATCACATATTGGGACATTTGACAATAATAATTGCATTCCTATCTAGCGTCCTGAAGTGGGATTGACAAAATTACTAATCTCAGAGTCGACAGTCATAAGTATTGAACGATATTATATGCAATTAAATAATAATTACTCTCGTCAAATATTTAGTACTTCTATTTACGTTGATATGTTAAATTATATAATTTTACGTATATTAATTATTAGCATATTTTATTTGAATTATTTATATATATATATATATATATATGTTAAGACATTTTCTTATGTTTATAGGTTCTTTTTGTAGATACAAATATTTAAATAAATGCCCTGTTTGTAATAAGCAGTATTAAACAACATTTACCGGCCTGAATGTCTGAGAAATTTTCGTAGAAAATATTCGTCCTCCGACAGGAATCGAAACTGCATCCTATACGGAACCGTCATATAGCCTGATGTGCCTTAACCGATTGGGCGACAGAAGAGAGTTCGGTTAGCAAAGTCGATTTTACTGTTTTTAAACACAATTGTCCATGATTTTCTCGCATATATCCATATCTGCTCGATGCGTATCCAAATGTAAACAAATGACGTCACACATTATGAAATGGACAAAGTCAGACAATTTTTTAAAGATTTTTTTTATATTTATACGTTCTTTTTATAGATACAAATATTTAAGTAAATACTCTGTTTATAATAAACAGTATTAATAACATTTACCGGCCTGAATGTCTGAGAAATTTTCATATAAAATATGCGTCCTCCGACAGGAATCGAACCTGTATCCTATATGGAACCGTCATATAGCCTGACGTGCTTTTACCAACTGAGCCACAGAGGAGAGTTTCGGTTAGCAAGGGCGATTTTACTGTTTTTAAACAACAATTCTCCATTAATTGTAGTTTTAAGACTATGAATTGAATTTAAAAATCATGAATTGTGGCTCAATCGGTAAAAGCAGGTCAGGCTATTTGACGGTTCGTATAGGATACAGGTTCGATTCCTGTCGGCGGACGAATATTTTCTATGATAATTTCTCGGACATCCACTGCATTCTGTTGAGGATTATTCTAGGCTCGACGAATTACTATATGATTGGCCTAAATTCCCCAAATCATTATCATGCAGTATATATGATTAGATATTGATAGATATTATTGATTGATTATATATATAGAGAGAGAGAGAGAAATAGAGAGATAGAGAGAGAGTGAGAGAGAGATTGAGAGAGAAATAACTAGATATATAGGTAGATACAACTTGGGGCAATGAAAATTATAGAAAATTTCTGTATTCCCTTATTCCTTATTTCTAATTCCTGTATTCCCTTATTCCTACAAAACGGAAAAAAATGTAAGGATGCTGGAGAAACAGAATAAAAATAAATTAAATCTGTCTTGCCTGCCATATTTAATGGAACATCTTTAAAAAGAAGGTTGTTGGCCAAATTATATATTACTATATGCATTTTACAATCGCCTGATGAGATGCATTGATATGCATTGAAACACGACTGCAATTATCTAGCGATTTTTTTACATGTTTTCTGTATAATTTCCTAAAATAAATTATATATATATATATATATATATATATATATATATATATATATATATATTAATATTAATTGTATTCAAGAATGGATATTTTATGTATTAATGTTTTTAATTTTATTGCTTGAACATTATTTTACTGGATATTCATATTTGAGTAGATGCTCTGTTTTTGCTTATTAATCAGTAGATTTATTTATTTATTTATTTCCACCTACCGGCTTGAATTTTCAAGAAATCTTGGAAAAATATCCTACCAGAGAGCGTATATTTTTCTAATAAGATTTCTCGAATATTCAGGTTGGTAGATGGAAATAAATAAATACACTGTTGAATAAATAAATAAAAACAGAGAATTTACCCAAATATGGGTATCCAGTAAAAATAACGTTTAAGCAATATATATATATATATATATATATATATATATATAATTATAACATTAAATATAACATAAATATGTTATAAAATCGCTACAAAAAAAGCCATGTTGTTTCAACACTTCTAACACCATCACTTGATAAGACAGCAGAAGTGTTGAAACAAAATGGCTATTTTTGTAGTGATTTTATGACATATTTATGTTATAATTTTGGAATAAATAATTATATTTGCTCTACTCTGTATTGAGCACTCTTTTAAGAATAGTATTTGTCCAGAAAAGAAAGTACTTGTTAGAGCACAAGAAAAATTAAATAAAAAACAACCGTAGTACCTTGCCTGTCGTTTTTAATGAAACATGCATAATATATATATATATATATATATATATATATATATATATATATATATATATATATATATATATATTATCTGTCTAAGCTTTCGGCTTACATTACCCATTATCAAAGATCACAATTACATTTCAATATATCAAACAATACACGGACGAGACAATACTGATAGTCTGTTTTTGTTGCATGAAAAATTTCAAAGCAACGAGAAACTCGTTATACAAGACTCGGAAGCGAAAATCGCGTCTCAGCTCGTGACGTCACACATGACCACGCGAGAGTGAAAACGTGAAGTATTAAGTATGGGAAGCCGTAGGTATAAACCAATGGCTTCTGTTATCAATTATAGCCATTTAAGAATATTTGTGGAGATTTCGTAGTTTATTTTGTTCAGGTTAGGTTTCAACTGTTTTATGCATATAGCTTCAAGAATTTTTAGTTTTTGTTTATTGTTTTCATGTTTAAGTATATTTGTGTTTTCAACAAGGATTTTCCCGAATTGTCTACGCGGCCAGGCATGTTGTTTTAAATGCCTAAAATGTTAGAGTTATCATTCAAATATAGAGTCAAGCGTCGTGAAAGCGAGTTTCAATGATAATGTCATTAAGCTTATCAGACAATATGAAAGGAACTTACTTAAAATAAATAGACAAAACTTGTCTATATTATTTAATAAAACATGTATCAATATATATATATATATATATATATATATATATATATATATAACTCGTTATACCACCTGTCTGAATGGACATGTCAACATGAAGAGCCTAGCCGTCACTTACGCTAAGTTGTCTCTCGTAAACAAGATGCGATCTTCTTGGTAGGCGAATATTTGAACCTGCTGGGTGACTTAAGCAGTCAGTGGAGGCGTATCAGCGGGAGAGAGTGTTTTACAAATATTCTTGACTTTATGAGGAAGCATTTTCGGAATGTTGTCGTATTCGAGCGAGGATAAAAAAAAACGATCTATTCTAAATGTATCGTCGAAATCAATTCACACTTTGTTGTGGGTACAGGTTTGCGTGGATTCTAGTTGTCGTTCAACTAAGCTGTTTAGTCGTATGTGTAATTTCTCTCTCTCTCTCTATATATATATATATAGAGAGAAAAAGAAAATATATATATATATATATATATATATATATATATATATATATATTAACCGAATGATATATACAATTAAATGTATTGATAAATATGAAAAGGGAATTAGATAGATAGATAGATAGATAGATACAATTAACTATATCGATAGATATGAAAAGAGGCTTAGAGTTAGATAGATGGAAATAAACAGAGACTAATAGATAAATAGATAGATAGATAGATAGATAGATAGATAGAATTAACTATATCGATAGATATGAAAAGAGGATTAACGATAGATGGAAATGAACAGACTAATAGATAGATAGATAGATAGATAGATAGATAGATAGATAGACATGAAGCGACTGAGATAGATAGATAGATAGATAGATATGAACAGATTGATAGATAAATATGAACAGATTCAGATATACAATTATATATATCGATAGATTGAAAAGAGAATTAGAGATAGATGGAAATGAACAGAGACTAATAGATAGATAGATAGATAGATAGATAGATAGATATGAAGAGAGAATGCGATAGATAGATATGAACAGATTCAGATATACAAGTATATAGAGGTACGGAAATTTAGACAGAAGGTTATATAGACAGATATATAGATAGATACGAACAGAGACTATGATAAAGAGATAGATAAACATATAGATATATAAATAGTTATCTATGTACAATGACAGCGATAGATAGACAGAGAGAGATACACATGCTGTGAGAGATAAACTGACGCACAAAATAAGCAAAAATGAAAATAACACTGACATTTCCTTTTAACAGATATATTTACCAAAATTACACAAAAAATATCTTGAAATACTAAAGAGTAAATTTATTCAATAAAAACGCCATCCACTTCAACTACGGCCTCCAGACGACTTCGGAATCCCCTGCAACGTTTCTGGACGGTCTCCTTGTTTAAGTTGGTAAATGCTGCCATAATCCTTGCCTTCAATTTATAATTGTGTACCAAGGAGTTTTGTTGGTCCTTTGCTCCACTGCGTTCCACACATAATAATGATAGCAGGGGGTTGCAATCTGAGGAGTTAGGTGGTCAGATGTAAGGTGTGATGTTGTCACAGAAATTGTCTGACAGTCATGACTGGGCTCTCCCGCTTATGTGCCATGGTGCAGAGTCCTGTTGCCAGACATAGGGTCTTCCAGAAGCTACCCTCTTGACCTAGGGCAGCACTATCCCCTCAAGGCACTTGATGTAGGCCCTGTTGAAAGATGAATGGAGGCATAACGTTACCATCACGAGTGATTACTCCAACCACCATGATAGGATATTTTTAAGGCAATTCACCCCAAGCAAGGCGGGAGTGTCACTAGCACGCAAGGGGTTACAGAGGATTGAGAACAAGAGTATAGAGGCATTTTTAAGGAAAGGACACAGAGAAGGACGGGGAACAAGTTCAAGGTGTCAGATATCGATTGACATAACACTTGAATATTTGAATATTATAGTCATCAGAGAATCAAGTAAGGGGAAGGGAGTTCCACAGATGGGAAGTGCGGGAGAAGAAGCTGTTTGAGTAGAATAGGCGGTTATATTAAACCGTTTTGACAGTGAAAGGTGGGGACCACAAAGGGTGCCAGCCTGGTAACTCGCTTAAATTCTTGCAGTCCGTTGGTATAATATAATTGTATTTTTCATGAGGGCTAAACTAATTGTATCATAGGTACCTCAAAATATCGTCTCCTATGGTGAATAATGTGGGCTATTTATTTTTTATAATAGCCTCTGTGGGGTTTTGAGTCTTTAGTTACATTGGGTGCATATATATATATATATATATATATATATATATATATTTCTGAAATTTTATTTGACGAATATTAGCTGATTTGAATTTATTTGAAGCCTTCTGATTTGAAACAACTATATTTAACTTTAATTTAAAATAACGCATAATGAATGTAGTTAAGTACATGCTAATATGTAGATAGAATTTTTTTTAAAGCAATTCACCCCAAGCAAGGCGGGAATGCCACTATCACGCAACAGGTTACAGAGGATTGAGAACAAGAGTAAAGAGGCGTGTTTAAGAAAAGGATACAGAGAAGGACGAGGAACAAGTTCAAGGTGTCAGATATCGATTGACATTACACTTGAATATTTGAAGATTATAGTCATCGGGGAAGCATGTAAGGGGAAGGGAGTTCCACAGATGGGAGGTGCGGGAGAAGAAGCTCATTGAGCAGAAGAGGCGGTTATATTTAACCGTTTTGACAGTGAAAGGTGGTGACCGAAACGGTGCCAGCCTGGTAACTCGCATAAATCCCTGCAGTCCTGGAACCAGTGAAATTAGCTCGTCGGAGCTGCTGCCGTGAATACCAAACAGTACAGTATGCCGTTTACAAATTTCTGGCAGAGCGGATGTCGTCATGGTGATCAGTCTTCTCAGAGACGTTGGCCAACTGACTGTGCAGTCGACAAAAGCAAAAATCATACAACGCACGTGTGAGAAATTAAAATATAAAATTAAAATATAAAATAGTTGCTGATAGCTAGGTACCTATATAGATAAGCAGAATAAGATAGATAGATATGAACATACATTGAGCATGAGCAATATATATATATATATATATATATATATATATATATATATATATATATATATATATAGTAGCGTCCAAAACTACGGGACAAAATTTTAAAACCTAATATTTGTTAGAAATAACAACTGTGAAAAGCTGAAATTTTGACAACTGGTAGTCGTTATCATCCATAATAACATACTAAAATTTGAATCATTTACAAAGGATAGAAAAAAAATTATAACAATTATTTATTTATTTTCAAAATAGGATCGTCCAAAAGTAAGGGGACAAAATTGAGAAAAACAATGTAAACAGTATGCTATATTCAAATTTTTGATTTCCTCTAAAGAATAAGTCTTACTTAGTCATTTGTAAACGTTGCATCAGCCGGCACCATGGCGAAACGCCAAAAAGTTGATTACTCTGTGAGACAAGCTATTGTGAAGCTACACAAGGAAAAGCACACCATTAGAGAGATTTCAGAGAAAGTGAAACGTTCCAAGAGTGTTGTAGGCAGGGTTGTTAAATCCTACAATGATACTGGCAAAATAGTTAGTGCTTTTAAAACCGGCAGACCCCGCAAATCTTCGGCAAGAGAAGATTGAATAATGCAGCGTATGTCATTAAAGGACCGTTTTAAGTCTTGCACAGAAATTAAAAGGGTTATGAATAGTACCTCATGAGTTAATGTGTCAAGACAGACTGTTTGTAGATGACTGCAAGAAATAGGGCTGTTTAATCGAACCCCAGGGAAGAAACCACTTGTTAGTTCGAAGAATAAGAAGAAGAGATTAGAGTTTGCAAACAGGTATGTAATATGGACATATGAAAATTGGGCAAAAGTATTTTTCAGTGATGAAAGCAAGTTTAATTTATTTGGAAATGATGGAAAAAACAATGTAAAGAGACATATTGGTGAAAGATTAAGTGCAAAGTGTACTAAGAAAACTGTCACGTTTGGGGGCGGAAGCGTCATGGTATTTGGAATGTTTTCTAGCCAAGGTACAACGCCTCTTGTCCGGTTACAAACTCGTGTAAACGCGCAGATCTATAAAAACATTGTTCAAGATCATGTTGTGCCAATCATACAGAATTCAGGTTTCGATAGGGCTACCTTCATGTAAGATAATGCCCCATGTCACAAGGCAAAGGTGGTAATGAGTTACCTTAGCGAGCAAGATTTGGAAATTATGGATTGGCCACCGCAAAGTCCTGACTTAAATCCAATAGAAAATCTTTGGAAGACCTTAGGAGTGAAAGTTATGGAAAGAAATTCCACTAACACGGAGGATTTGTGGGTGAAGCTTCAAGAAGAATGGTCTAAAATTAGTATCGAGGATTGTCAAGAACTGATTCGTTGTTGTAGTCGAAGATGTGCAGCTGTCATTGAGAGCAAGGGCTCATTTACTAAATATTGATTGTACATGTATTTTTATTGTTTTTTTTTTTTTTTTGCCGTTTACATTGTTTTTCTCAATTATGTCCCTTACTTTTGGACGTTCCAAATTTGAAAATAAATAAATAATTGTTATAATTCTTTTTCTATCCTTTGCAAATGATTCAAATTTTAGTATGTTATTATGGATGATAACGACTACCAGTTGTCAAAATTTCAGCTTTTCACAGTTGTTATTTCTAACAAATATTAGGTTTTAAAATTTTGTCCCTTAGTTTTGGACGCTACTGTATATATATGGGCAGAATGAGATAGATAGATAGATAGATAGATAGATAGATAGATAGATAGATATGAACAGGTATTGAGCGTGAGCAATATATATATATATATATATATATATATATATATATATGGGCAGAATGAGATAGATAGATAGATAGATCGAAAGATAGATATGAACAGATATTAAGCGTGAGCAATATATATATATATATATATATATATATATATATGGGTAGAATGAGATAGATAGATGTCAACAGAGACTTACTTAGCTAGATAGATAAATAGATAGATATGAACAGATATTGAGCGTGAGTGATAGATATATATCGACAGAATGAGATAGATATATACCTGTGAACAGAGAATTAGATAGCAAGTTAGATATGAACAGAGACTTAGATAGATAGATAGATAGATAGATAGAATGAGAGATGGAGAGTCATCCATAGGTATTAACAGATTAAGATAGATGGAACGAGGTTCTGTGAGTGATAGACAGATTTTAAACTTCGCTCCGAATACGCAATAAGTTGTGACTCTAATTACGTCCTCATCGTGATAATCGGGACGCCGCTTGATGTCCACTTAGTCGACCCTTCTCACCCTCGTCACTAACACGACAACAATAGTTTGTCTCTCAGTGACAATCAGCTTCTCACCCTAGCGAATGCTGCTTAATTACCTTGCTTTATACTCAATCTTTTTTTTTTCAGAGAAACGTTCACCTTATGCGTTCTGAATCTCCAAGAAAATAACTGACAAATCATTCAATTATGCCAAAAAAAAAGACAAATATTCAAATTATCTTTACTCCTTCTGATGCAAATAATTAGATAATTGCGTTGATTAAGCACAATTAGCTGAAAAAGAATTATTTTTACCCATTCCTTGATTCGTTAGGTTTAGAAATCAAGGTTCGCTCGAATCCTAAATCTAAAAGAATTTTAAATTAAGGATATATATTTTCTCGTTTCTGTTAATCAGCTCAGATAGAACCTGCCTTCTATCAGTATGGCTGATGCTAACCCCCAGCAAAACTGCGCCTTCTTCGGCTAACGTTTCTCCGTTAACTTGAAGTGGAAAGGCTAAAGTTCTCTATTCGTTTTGGCGCGAAAGAGGAACACTCTTGTTGGAACATTTTTAAAGCCGTTTGTTGCTGAAACTGGTATTTACTGATCTTATTTTGCGATTGTGTCGAAAGAAATGCTAAAGTGAACTCTGAATTACTTAGATTATTTACATTATTCGAACAGTTCATCTTCATTGCCATATTCAAAACGTTTCGGCCGTTGTACGCTCCGGCATTCTTCTGGTGACTGGAATTTTGAATCGAAATCATTATTTCGATTATTAGATTATTGTCGTTCCACGTGCCACGCCTCTTCCAGAAGAGATTCCAATCAACCGTCGCACTTCTCAGTTGTGGAGCTCTCTTCCTTATCCATGCTTTCCTGTCAACTATGATCTTTAAAAATTTAAATGCAATGTCAATCGTTATCTACCCTCTTCCTGATTACTCTTCTATTGTTAAGAATCCGAAAGAGAGTACCACAGGCGATACGTGCGATAGAAGAAACTGTTAGCATAGGACTTACGGCTACATGCAGACAAATCAACTGTAAAATGATGAGACCTATCCGCCAATCTAGTACTACACTTAAATTCATAAAATCTAGGTACTATGGAAGGTATAGAAGGAAAGTTCAAAACAATTACCATGAAAGGTAGAGGGAAACTACATACACAATTATATATATATATATATATATATATATATATATATATATATATATATAAATTATTAATTTATGAAAAACAAGGTAATCCGTATGGGTAAACCCAAGGAGGATAAAATCCAGAGAGCTCAATGTAAATCCAGAGCAAATAATTTAAATAAAAAACAGACCACTTTAAGGTTCCATGTAATAAATTATTTCACCACAGCCCTTTTAAAAAAGGACTGAGGATTATCAGACTTTACTTCCAAATCCTGGTTTGAAAATAAAGTCTGATGATCCGCAGTCCTTTAGAAGGGCTGTGGTGAAATAATTTATTACATGGAACCTTAAAATGGTCTGTTTTTATTTAATATATATATATATATATATATGATAAGCAAATATAAATGGATATAAATCCGACAGAATGAAGAAAATATCTGGAAAAACAAAACAAAAATCCTTAAAATGCGATTATGTTGTTTTAATATGAATGAAATGTCGACGTCTGACGTTTCGGTTTAATAACCTTCTTCAGGACAATATTCATTAAAAATACAATTAACATAATATTTTCTTCATTCTGTCGGATTTATATCCATTTATATTTGGTTATCATACTGTCCACTGGAAATACAAACCTGAATTCATTTTATTACATGGAGGACTGCATGCTTATCCGAAGATACAGGAATCTACTAGTCTCCGCGTATTCCTACAAGAACAGAAAAGATTTTCTAACAAACTGTATATATGAAAAATCTTTCCATCGGAAATCAAATTTATAAAAATTTTTAAGAATACGTTTTGAAAGCGTCGCCCATTTGACGACAACGTGACCACGCTCAAACGGAAAGCTGATCATTTAAAATTTTCATTTATTTGTTTTGGATAAGACTTGTTTTTATGTCCATCGTTTTCGTCGAGTTATACTGATTATGTTTTATCTTAAAATACTTGTCGGACTTTGTCCATTTAATAATTATATATATATATATATATATATATATATATATATATGAAGAAATTTTGAAAAAAAAAATAAAAATCCTTAAATGTAGTTAAAATGAAAAGGATTTTTGTTTGTTTTTTCAAAATTTCTTCATTCTATCGGATTTATATCCATTTACACTTGCTTATATATATATATATATATAAGTGAACATTGAAGTTAACACTCAGAGGCGACAGGCTGTTTCATGTTAGTCGTAATCGCCAGGTCTGATGAACTTCAATGTTCACTTTTATATTTGTATTTACACACGCTCTATCTCTGATATTGAGCACTTTATCCCATAAATATAGCACATCTTAAGACTATATTTCTTCATATATATATATATATATATATATATATATATATATATATATATATATATATATATATGTACACAAATATTCATGTGTGCGTTGTGCAGCGCATTATTTCATGAATGTATGCGTGTATGTGCTTGTGGCTATATGGGTGAGGTTCTGTGTGTGTGTCTGATTGTGTAAGCAGTTAAGTTCTTACATGCGTACGTGTGTATGCGTATGTACGCATATAGTTTGGCGGAAACAGCATTAAAACATGGATCCATCCTACGTTGTATTAACGGTCGAGGCTTCTGCTGGCGAGCGTTTTGGTGACAGACATTTAATTCCTTGGTATCAGTAAATGGTCATTTAAAAGCTGCACCTTACCTAATCTGTTGTGGTTCAATTGACGACTAGGGCAAATCCATCCCTATGGCGGTCACTTCCAGCTGGACAACGCGTCGCGTCAGAAATCAGCAAATCCCAAATCGTGTCAGACTGGTTCATGAAATATAGCAATGGGTTTTAAATGTCAAAGTGGCCCCAGTGTTAGCAGATATCAATCACTTAATGCGCATTGTCGTAGGAAGGAAGAGGTGTTCGGCTGACAAGTCTTGAATTGACTGATGGCAAAATAACTGAACGGATTTCTAAAGAGTACGTCCATAACGCCGTCAAATCCACGCCGGGAAGCGAAACCTGTTTAAATTCGTAAAGAATCCCCTACTTGTTCCGTATTTACACGCATACTTATATATATATATATATATATATATATATATATATATATATATATATATAAAGAAATATAGTCTTAAGGTGTGCTATATTTATGGGATAAAGTGCTCAATATCAGAGATAGAAAGGTGTAAATATAAAAGTGACCATAAAATCAACATAGAGGCGACAGTCTGTTTCATGCTAGATGCAATCGGTGGCCTGACGATTGCATATAGCATGAAACAGACTGTAACCTCTAAGTGTTGACTTTTCTTCACTTTTCTATATATATATATATATATATATATATATATATATATATATATATATATATAGATAAGCCTAATGAGCCAGACAAATCTACCTAGGTTTCACCTAAACGGATCGTCAAGGCAATGCTGGCCGAAAAGGAAAATAATAGAACCAAAAGCAACCATGACCACGTGACAAAAAAAAAAAGAAAAAAAAGAAAACTAAAAAAACATAATAAAAACTCAAACAACAGGGGGTTAGGGGTTACATTCTTTATTCAACAACGAAAAGAAAAATGAAGAAGACAACAAAGATGAGAGAAAAAAAACCCTACTCTAATACCCAGCGTTTCATATGTTTACACCTACTAAGAATTTTCGATTTTAGATTTAATAAATTCTTGGATTCTTTATACATTGCAATAGCCAACTTTTCCTCCATGCATTGGGAACAAAACCTATCACCTTCTTTATACTTGTAACATTTTTTTAAAATTTCCCATTTCAAAATGGGATCCTTATTATCTTCTTGTTTTTTCTTCCATACATAAGAGGACAATGTAGTACTATGTTTGTAAGTTTCGCTATTGAAACTACTAAGGTCGTTATAATATCGTTTTTTGAAATTATTCCGGGTAGATCCTATATAAACCTTAGGGTTTTTATCGGTATTATTGGGTTTATCCTTATATATTTTTACTTGATAAACAACTCACTCTTGTTGGCATTTGCCATGGAGAGGGCAGGCTTCCTTATTCCTACAATTACACTTGATGCGTTGTTTGTCTTTAATTTTTCTCCTATTATATTTATTAATTAAATTGGTCTTATTAGGCATACAGCTATAGCTTAATTTGACGTAGTTTTTGTTGAAAATTTTATGCAAAAATTTTGTGGGAAATTCTTTTTAAGTACTTTAAAATATCTTACCTATATTGGTTTTCACCGCTAAATTATAGGGGGGGAGGTTAAACCATAATATTTTTCTAGATCTGTTTTTATGTTCACTTTGTGTTTTAGGGGAATTATTCATATTGATATATTCTAATTTACTACTGTGTCCACTAATCTTTAAGGCTTGTTCATAAATTAGTTTATTTTTATTAAAAATATTATTATTAGCTGAGTTAGTGGTCAATCTGTGATTAATACCTTTGGGTATTTGTTTCAAAATATGTGTAGAGTGGTTGGAACCTACGTCGATATATTGTGGTTGCTGGTTATTTCTTTCTATATGGGAAATTGTACCGTCACGTAAGTCTAGCATAATGTCTAAGTAATGGGTAACTTTTAAGTATATTTGTATATCAAGGCTGAATCAAAATTTTTAAACATATATATATATATAAAGACATTTTTATGTTTGTATATTCTTTTTATAGATACAAATATTTAAGTAAATGCTCTGTTTATAATAAACAGTATTAAACAACATTTACCGGCCTGAATGTCCGAGAAATTTTCATAGAAAATATTCGTCCTCCGAGAGGATTCGAA